CAGTAATGCTTCATAATCTGATGGGCCATAATTTGTGGGTGGATATCAGGGCAATGTAAATACTCTTGTACTATATAACCTACACACTTGTCCCTTCTGTGTTTGTATGTGCTGAATCATCTTTTCCCTGGGATGCTCTTTACCATGTAGTTTGAAAAGTGACTCCTGTAAGATCCTCTATCTCTGGGATGTTCAAATTGCATCTGGGTGGCCCTTTCATTTACATGGACATTAGTAATGTCTTTTCTTTAATTTGGTAGAAAGAGGCTGTGAGGCAGCAAGGAATAGTTAAAAAAATGTGTTATAAAGTCAACAGGCATAGACAAAAGTGATTGATTGGCTAGTTTTTGCCATTTGTAAAATAAAGGTAATATAATTCAAACATTCCAAATTCAAAAACTCAGAGTCTGAAATGCTCCAAAATTACAGCATTTTTGAATACCCACGAGACACTCAAAATAAATTCTTATCGGAACATTTCAAATTTCAGATTTTAGGATTTGGAATGCTCAAGCAATAAATAAGTATAATGTGACTATTCCAAAATCGGAAAGATTCTGAAATCTGAATTCTGGTCCCAACCATTTTATGTAGGGGTTGCTCACCTGTACCTACATTTTAGGGCTGCTATAAGGATTATTAATACACATATGCCACTGACACAGACTCACTGAAAGACATAGCCATTGTGTCGGAACTCTTCAAGGTATAGAGTGCACATGGAATATAATATCTTCCATGTGAATCAGATGCATTTTTCTCTGAAATATATAAGCCTTGTATATGTCTTTGAAAATAAAGTGCCTAAAACATTCTCTTTGGCTTCTATGACATCACATACTCTTATTTGATCTTACTTTTTGGGTTGCATCCTTTTCATAGTTGGCTTTTCCCAAAACTGGCTCCTCAGGAGAGTTTACTTTGTAGCTCTACCTTTGCAATATGTATACTTCCTCTCCAGGTGATTTAATGCATTCTAAATATTTTATATATTGGTGACCCTAAATTTACATCTCTAAACCAAAACACTCTCCTGAGACCAACCTTACATATCCACTTTCCTATACCTGGATCTGTACCTGGATACCCCAAAAGACATCTGAAATTTAGCATTTTCAAAAGAAAATCACAAATTTTCTTCTGCCTCTCACCTGTTTATGTACTAGTGTATCCTGTCACTATTAATGCTGTCAAAATTTACTAGGTTCTCAAACTAGAAGACTAGGAGTAGACTCTGATTCCTCTCTCTACCTTGCTACTCACATTTAGTTCATCAGCAAGTACAGTTGATTCTACCTGGAAAATATAACCGACTGTGACCACTTCTCTCCATGTCCATTGTCACCAATCATAGAGAAGCCACCATCACTTCTTGCTAGATTATTGCCAGTTTCCTTATAAGATTTTTCCAATTGATCATCCAGAAAAATGAGCAGCCAGTTAATCCTTTCTAAAATTAGTTTGTGTCAGTCATTTGCTTAAATCTCCTTAATGGCTTCCTGTTGTGCTTAACATTAAAATTCTTTTTTTTTTTTCTTTTCTTGTGATAGAGTATCATTCTCTCACCCTATGCTGGAGTGCAGTGGTACAATCTTGGCTCACTGCAACCTCTGCCCCCTGGGTTCAAGTGATTCTCCTGCCTCAGCCTCCCATGTAGCTGGAATTACAGGTGTGCACCACCACATCTGGCTAATTTTGGTATTTTTAGTAGGGATGGGGTTTCACCCTGTTTGTCATTCTCGTCTTGAACTCCTGGCCTCAAGTGATCCACCTGCTGTGGCCTCCCAAAGTCCTGAAATTACAGGCATGAGCCACTGTACCCAGCCAACATTAAAATTCTTTATAAGTGCCTACAAACACCTACATGGCCTGGACCATAACTGTCTTTCCATTTTCATCTTGTATCACCATCCCTCCCAAGTTCTTCATGTTCTAGACATATTTTTTTACATGACTGGCTTTTTTTTTCATTTTTCTCTTTATTTTTCTTGCCTTTTGTTAAACTTTAAGTTTAGGGGTGCACGTGTAGATTTGTTAAATAGATAAACTTGTGTCATGGGGATGTGTTATACATATTATTTTGTCACCCAGGTATGAAGCCAAGTATCCACTAGTTATTTTTCCTGATCCTCTCTCTCCTCCCACCCTCCAATAGGCCCCAGTGAATGTTGTTCCCCTCTAAGTGTCCATGTGTTATCATTCATCTCTGACTCATAAGTGAGAACATGCAGTATTTGGTTTTCTGTCCCTGTGTTAATTTGTTAAGGTTAATGGCCTCTAGCTCCATCCATGCAAGAAACATGATCTCATTTTTTATGGCTGCATAGCATTCCATGGTATATATTTACCACATTTTCTTTATCCAGTCTATCATTGATGGGCATTTAGGTCGATTTCATGTTTTTGCTATTGTGAATAGTGTTGCATTGAACAAATGTGTGCATGTTTCCTTATAATAGAATGATTTAAATTTCTCTGGGTATATACCCAGTAATAGGATTGCTGGGTTTAATGTTATTTCTGCAGTGGGGATATAAATTAGTTCAACCATCATGGAAGACAGTGTAGTGATTCTTCAAAGACCTAAAGATAGAAATACTATTTGATCCTTATTTTTATTTGCATTCATCAGCTTTCAGCTAAAACTTACCCTTTAGAATACCAATAGGTAAGGCCCACAAGTATAGGGAGCGTGTATACTTTGCTCACTCTTGAATATTCAATTCCCAGACCAGAATTATAGCATATATATGCCATAAATATTTGTTAAATGAGTTAATAAATAAATGGGCCCTGATAGGTGCTCAATGAAAGATAATGATGATACTTATCAATGCATATTATTACACTTCTTTGTTACATTAGTCTCTTCCACTCAATAATTTTTTTTGTTAAATGAAATAAGTAACACATTTAGCATAACTTCAAAAGGCATTATTTTAGTGTTTTAGTATGTATGTTGTATCTCATATGTAGGGCTTTCATAAAACAAATGAATAAAATGCATGGGATTGATATTTCAGCTAAACAAGCTTGATGAGATCAAAGGATTGTTTTCTCATATCACTTTGATGTCCTTACATAAAAAATGAGTCCTGTTTTGTTATTTGTTTGCTCACTAGCATTCTGATTTAATAAGAAATTGTGCTTTTTTTAACTTCAAATTTTTCTTTTTGTCTACAGTAGAATTCACATTACCATGAGAATAATTATTTTAGGTCTAAGGAAATTGAAAGAAAATTTGGTAATATTCAGGAGAAAACTAACATTAGTCTTTATTTCTTCCCCCTTGTCCACAATATCAACTTTTGTGCTAAACCTGTTTTTTTCCTATATGTTTCCAAATGTCTTGTTATTCTGGAACATTGGGTTATTTGATAAAATTTTTAAAATATAAGTATTTGGTGCTGTACAGAGGAAGACTTTCTCTGTTGCCATAGAAAATAGTACAAGGAAATAGTGAAAATGATGATAGGAGTGATTAGAAATGTGATTCAAGTTACATTCACTTTGTGTCTGGTTGGACTTTTTGTAGATTTGATGAGCTTTCAGACCATTAGTGTTCCTGTAAAAGTGTGGCATTTACATACAGTCCTGAAGAAACATCACCTGTTTTGAAAAGTCAGGGCTTAGGAAGTTAGTCACTTTAAAATAATTTGAGATCCTTGGCTGGCAGAGTTAATAACAAAATAAGTCTCTTGTACAATTCCCTTAAGTAATCAAGTTACTAATTTGCCAGTTCTCTTTTACAAATTATGCTTGAATTTGCCATAAAAAACTTGGGACAAAATTTCCTTCTTCCCAGGAATTTAAATTGAAATAGATGATGACATTCATAGCTATCCTAAACTTCTACCTGGCAGAATAGTTACAAACATACATCCTTTTAGCCCTTTGAGCCTTAGTGATGTGGAATTTTTTTTGGATCAGGGCTGGAGGACTGATTACTGTGAATTTTATTACAAGACTCTGTAATTACTTTGAAGACTCTCTGGAGGACCAAGTGGGTTGCCAGAGAATTTTCTGTTCTCACCACCTAGCCACAGAATGCCCTTGAAAATTTAATAACAGAAAAGTCGTTTTAAATATATATAGCCCAATTTAATTTATAAATCATTTACATAGTTGATATATTGATTCCCATAAGGGACAGCCTAGCACATAGTATCCCCATTTTTCAGGTGAGCAAATTCTGGTACTGAGAGGTTAAACAGTTTACTACTGCTTCTTAATAGAAGAACAGGGATTAAAATGTGAATATTCTTTTTTCTAAAAGTTGGTGCTAATTTCACTGTTTCTTGCGCCTGTTTGGGGGACATTTTGCTCTCTAATATCCCAACCTTTTCCTTTCTCTTCTACAGTACATTTACCATGAAACAACTACTTTTCCTCATTTGTTTTTGTTATATCTTCTACATTAATTCAACACAGTACTCATTTATTCCAGGGAAGATTGTTTGACTTGCTTGACGTTGCCTTGGGAGAGAGAATATGTGGGGTATTTTTGAAAAGATAATTTTGTTTTTGTAATTGCACAATTAATTACATGATCAATGCTAAATATTTCAAAAGAAGAGAAAGCATAATGAAAATTTAAAAACAGTTATTCACACTTCCATTACTGAGAGATCAATGCTGTTTATCCTCTGGGGTGCATACGTCTTGAAGTTTTCTGTTCATGGCATAGTTTTGCTTCTAGTATGCTCTCCCACCTCTGCCTGAGAGTACAGTTCTGCCTGCCACATACCAAATTTGGTTTTGTGTATTGCAGGTGAACAAATAAAGAATATTAATCTAAGCAAGGCAGGGTCAAGAAGCTACATCAGCTGCTTCATCAAATCACAAAGGAAGCAGCCAACTTATAGTCAGAAAGAATTTTTGGACCTTTTTTTGTAATCTGCATTATTAAAACGTTCTTTCTCTGCTGACATGAATTATAGAACTTCTCCAGACTAGTTACGCTTATGTTTGTTAAAGACCCATGTTATTTTTTTTTTCAGGTTTTGAAGAGTATGATCATATGGATCATCTAACTAAATGGTACATGGTGACACAATGGTCCTTTAGAGAATACATCTGAATTGGTGGCTAATTTCTTGATTTGTGACTCAACATAGGACATTGCTTGTTCACATCTATCAGAACACTCCTGAATTTTCCCCACCATGCTGTCTTTATTAGCTTGAACTCCTTTCCTAAAATGGTCCTTCTGTTGATCCTGTCAGTCTTACTTTTGAAAGAAGATGTCCGTGGGAGTGCACAGTCCAGTGAGAGGAGGGTGGTCGCTCACATGCCAGGTGACATCATTATTGGAGCTCTCTTTTCCGTTCATCACCAGCCTACTGTGGACAAAGTTCATGAGAGGAAGTGTGGGGCAGTCCGTGAACAGTATGGCATTCAGAGAGTGGAGGCCATGCTGCATACCCTGGAAAGAATCAACTCAGACCCCACACTCTTGCCCAACATCACACTTGGCTGTGAGATAAGGGATTCCTGCTGGCATTCAGCTGTGGCTCTAGAGCAGAGCATTGAGTTCATAAGAGATTCCCTCATTTCTTCAGAAGAGGAAGAGGGCTTGGTACGCTGTGTGGATGGCTCTTCCTCTTCCTTCCGCTCCAAGAAGCCCATAGTAGGGGTCATTGGGCCTGGCTCCAGTTCTGTAGCCATTCAGGTCCAGAATTTGCTCCAGCTTTTCAACATACCTCAGATTGCTTACTCGGCAACCAGCATGGATCTGAGTGACAAGACTCTGTTCAAGTATTTCATGAGGGTTGTACCTTCGGATGCTCAGCAGGCAAGGGCCATGGTGGACATAGTGAAGAGGTACAACTGGACCTATGTATCAGCTGTGCACACAGAAGGTAAGTTTCCTTTGCATACATTGAATATATATTATGCACTCAGCAGTTAAATTTTCAGGTTTGGAAAGATTAAACTATTCTTAATTATTTTAGATATTTTGAATTGTTACAGTTATACTGTACGATAGGAAGGAACTGGATGGCAGATATCTAGAGAGGCGTAGACTTAAGCTAGAGAAAGGTGTATGTGGCCAACATTTGGTGAAATCAAATTTTGTTTTAAATTATGAATTTCATTATTTACTTCTGCTGTGTTGATGCTATATTGTACTTCTGCTATGATTTCTTATATATTCGTTACTAGAGACTTTTAAGTTTCTATATCTTTATTGAATGCCTCACGTTTTTGTCATTTCAAGATTGTTCTAGATGCCTATTGTTTCTAAGAGTTAAAACTAGGTATACATAAATACACATAGGACTGAAGGTAGTAACCAGTTCTTGCCTAGGTGTGCTGTTATAGAAAATTCCCAGAAAGTTCACTCTTACATCAGCTTTTCAGAAGAATGTATGGTCAAATCCAAAATGGAAATAAGAATAAATTAATTTTATCTTTGTGTAGGATATATTTTAGAAGTATAATTTTAAATAATTCAACATGTTTGCTTTGAAATTTATTGCTTCTTTATGCTCCGAGAATAGTGAAGAGAGAAAATACTGACTGATGATTTATAACAGTGAATAATAAATAGCCCTTTGTTTTTTATGCTGTTTTAAAAAATGCTTTGTATACATGATTTGTTAGCTCTTGACCAAGGCTGTTTGGAAAAGTTTTGTTTTGACCTACAAAGATTGTGACCCAAAGGGGGAGACTCACTTGTTATGCAACACTTCTAGAAAAAACAAAATGTGTATATTAAACACTATAGAATATTGAAGAAGATACAAAATACTTTTTATATATTACTGAATTATTATATTTGTTGAGATTTTAAAAGTCTTCAATAACATATCAATGTAGTTCAGATATTTCAGTGCAGTATCATGTGGAATTAAGTTATTTACCCCACTTCAGAGGTTAGGAATGTATTTATCCAACACATATTATTGTGCACAAATATATATGCAAAGCTCTCTGACAAGGAAACCTGTGAAGGATAGGCCTTTGTTTTCTATATCACAGACTTCAGTGGGCTTGCAATCTGGCAAAGGATAGGAGGTATGCACAAATACATGTATAACCATAATTCAAGATGACACAATGTTACAAATCTGATTCTAAAGGAAATTGATGGAGAAAAAAATCACCTCCTGTTCTGTGGTTGTGGGGGTCATGGTGGGAATCATACAGAAGAAAATGGAATTTGACAGTTGAAATTTAACAAGAATAATACTGACAATTGGTGAAAATTAGCAGGGATGGCTTTCAGTGAAAAGCATAAGAAAATATGAAGAGGTGAGAAAGTAAAAATGTGTTTGAAAAGGTCAATTATAAGAGCATGTTTTGGTTTGCCTCAGATAAATCATCCATTTTATTAGGGACTTCTTTCTAGCTTCAGAAAAGCAGGGCTTGGTCACTATGTGGCAAATGCTAATTTGATTGTGCTCCAAGAAAATTCTTAGTCATGACCCTTGGCTTTTACTAGTTTAAACTATTGCTTTATCCTGAATTTATCCCAATAGCAATCTAATAACCTAATAAAATAAGTTATGATGCATTCACACAGTACATTATCACATAGCTATTAAAATAAATGAGGCACTTTGTTAGGTAATGATTACAATCTCCAAGATTGTCTTAGGTGAAAAAAAAAACAAGGCACAGTTCTGTATATATGACATTTTATTTTTTCTAAAAGGAGTTTTTATACAAACAATTTGATTAGATATTCATAGAATTATTCTCAGAGAAGAGCCAATTTAAGAGTTGCTGCTTCTGAGAGGAAATCTAAGTTAAGAAATAAGGTGGAATATTTAATGCGTACTTTTTATATACATACACTTTAAACTCTATATTAAATATATAATTTACCTCCTGAAATATAACAATTACATGAAAACATTCTCTTTGTGGGCAAACAAAAGACAATAGAAATTGCATTGCCAAATTCAGGCAAAACATTTAGGTTGTACTACCAGAATTCAGGAGAGAGTAAAACTTGGAATTGAACATTCAAAGGTTGTAAGAAATACTCCTTGGCTTACTGTTCATGTGGTTGTGTCAAGAAATGTTTATCTTGCATTGATCCCAAGCAAGTATGTGGATAATGAAGTTATGTTGTATTAAGTCTTAGGATTTATCCGTATAAGAATGGCATGGTAGGAATTTTCACAAGGTGAAATTCACCTCCGAGATCAGAAAAATGAGTCAAACAGGATACAGCTCTGTTGGCTACCATGGAAATTCTGCAAGGTGATGCTTGGTTTTTGCAGCTTGGTTTTTCAGAAATTCTTGGTGGGATCTCCCATGAAATGATAGTGTCAGGTAACATTAGGTCTTTTTCTCTGGCTGGGTTGGGGTGATTTTATCTAGCATTAGGGTGACGAAGGGAAAACATACATAAGATACACTGAATACTTGACAGGCTATGAACTCATACATGTCCTTCACATTTAGGCAAACATTTGATTATTTACTGCTGTAAAAGTATGCACATTTGCACATCACCAGAGATATTTGTGCATTATGGGGTAGCAGTACAATGACATCTGCTAAAAACAAAACTCCTTTTAAACTAAGCTTAGTCATCCTGGACATGGAGTATTTGTGGGAGATTTCTAGTATTTTCAACAATTGATGACACAATGGTGCCTAAGAGAGAGGAAGGGGGTATGTTATGCCAGGCATGAGTCTCTAATAGGTGAGCCAGAGTCCAAGCCAGAAATTGTATCATCAGAAATGAATCTGAATATACAGCAAATACTGCCCAAGCCACATGGGGATATGTCAGTGGATTCTATATTTTTTTCTGAAAGATGCAATAATAACTCAGTTAGAAATTATTGACTGAATCTAGACTGCTGCTTCTGGAAGGGAAGAGGAGGCAGTGCTCCTCTGAACACTCTTTCCAGGGTCATCTGTATTTCTTTCACTGTCAGCAATGAAGTTTCTGACAGTCATATATGAATATGAACAACTATTTCTTTACAACTAGAGTTTGCACTGAAGTAGGTGTGGCTCCAAGGAAAAGTAGAATAGACATCTCTTGGTTCATTTTCCCCTCCTGGGAAACTAACAAACAAACAAAAACACTATTTGTTTCCCTACTGAGAGTATCTTTTGAGAATATTTCTGTGTCTTTTTATGTAGCTTTGAAAGCAGCACCTTTCCTTGTTCCCATGGAATGGGTTAATTATAGTGAGAAGAAAACATTAAGGAGGAGGCCTGTGGCAACAAGTTGACCTCACAGAAGACCTCTTCGTGAGTCTGATGACAAGCACAGACTCTGCCTGGTTGTTTCTATTTACATCTCCGTCACAGGCTCCACACTGTCCTTAAGATGCCAATAATAGCAGAAAGCAATATGGTACAGAATTTTTTTAGAGCAGGAGGACATATTGTAAATGATGTAGCCTTACATATAAAAGACAATTCTTTGGAATTCATCAGGGCTGTGAGTTATGAAATCTCCTTTTGGCACATTTGCAGATACTCCAGAAAGATTTATCAAACATTAAAATGTTGAATTGAGAAGATGCTTTGGCAAGAGGTGTAATAGTCAAATACATTTATTTTAAGGGACATTGTAAAGCGATTTCAGCCCAATGTTATATTTACACATTGATTTTCTCTCTCTCTCTCTCTCTCTCTCTCTCTCTCTCTCTCTGACACACACACACACACACACACACACACACACACGCACATACACAGTGAGATTCTAAAGAAAGATTATCTAGCCCATGGGCTTTTTTCAAATAATGGATCATAACTCATAAGTGATTTGTAAAACCAATTTACAGGGTTTAAATCAGAATTTAATGTAGAATACATTAAAATAGACTAGAGTGCAATATAAATATCAACATGTATTACATCATAGTAAGGTTAGATATTCTGTAAATTTTCACTTTAGTTACATATAGCCATATATAGCCTGTAGGTTACCATTTAAAATGTATTTCTTTTATGACTTGCAGCTGGAAAATAAAAGTTTAAAAGTTACTTACTCTACTTCTTTTTTTCATATTATTCATAAATACTTTGCTAGAAAAATGTAACCCATTCATGCAAATGTATTCTTCTGTGACAATGTTTGATTTGTATTTTCTGGAATGATGTGCTTTAGCTATTATTTAAAACAAGCAAAAATTTCAAGCACCCATGGTAGGAAATGGTAAAAGCATTGGACAACATGTAAATCATGGATATAATGTTGGTAAATGGGATGCACATCAGTATAGGACAATAGCATGGACGCTAGCCAAGGAGTTGAGGGGAGTTTCTAGTCCCAATTTTTATCAGTGATAAAGACAGTCTGGGAACATTTTAATTTTTAATACCCCGGTATAGTACACTAAGAAATAAATGCCAAAAATATTATTGTTTTGACATTAAACATTTACATTTAACAAATTAACCCCCCATACACATACAGAGACACACAGGTACAGGCACATAAAATATAATGTAAGGCATTTGTGCCATTTACGAGATAACTTCTTGGCTATATAAACAAGTCATAATGCACCACATGTGGTGTGTTGTGTAATAAGCCACTAGTTTAAATATATAAAGTGGCAATCTTCTTCCTGTTTTCGCTGAGTGTTCCAACAATTATATGAATAATTTCATTTGCTATACAGTCAAGTCTAAAATTTAGACTTATTTTGAGAATGGAATGCTTGGGCAAAATACCATTGGTAAAATATAGTCTGGTAACGTATGAGGGTGTGCTTTTAAAAGTATTGTAAAAGTAGTTAATACAATGAGTAACCTACAGTGGAGCAATAACTTAAGTTCACAGTTTGTTGCAAACATATCTTTGGAATCTGTTTTTTGACTCTTTGAAATAATTTTTATTTAAGTAGCTCGATGAACCCAGGCAAATTTGAGTACA